TTGTCAGTAAGGTCTGGTGCAGGAGGACCTCAAAGCAGTAACAAGGTTCACCATAAAGTGCAGCCCATGCTGTCCCTCATACTGCATGTGGGCACCAGCACCTTTAGCTCTCCATTATTTGTGGACATGGTGGTCGCTGTTGTTAATATATCCCTGGAAAGTACACTTCCAAACCAGACTGGCTAATTTTCAACATGCAGTTATGTGCTCTCACATCATTCACAACAGAAACCTTCCCTGGTAAGACTGAGCAGGTTGAAACCGTTTGAGCTTCACAGCCACGTCAGGGAGAGCAGGGACTTCAAACTAGGTCTCTCCAAGCCTGGGGCAGATGCTCATTCTCCAGCCATGTTGCCTAATAGTAATATCTCTCATGGGCTGTGGTGTCCCCATAAAATCCACTCAAATTGTTTTTTTCCCATAACAACTCATCTAACATGATGCCAGATGATACCAGAGATGCAGCCTGGTATCCAGTCCACACTGTGCCTGCCATTGTGCCAGCCATTTCTCCTGAGCAGAGACATCCTCACTGATTCTCCCATTGCCCGTGCAGAGTTTCCAGCGCAGCAGCACAGTGGGTTTTATAGACAACAGCAAATATAAGGAACAAAACCAAGAGGAAGGGCAATGCCTGAAGCTCAGCCTGAAGCTGAGCACATGGCAGGTGGGCAGCAGGATGCGTTGCCATGGGATGAGCTTGTGAAAATCAGTAGTTACCAGCTAAGCAAGAGAGGGCAGGGAAGTGGTTTTACCTCTGGGACTCACTGGGAATTCCCTGTAGATGTGTCTTGGCATTAGGCACATGGTTCCCTCATTTTCTCTCATGGTGGTTGTAACTGGCACTCTTACCTCCCCTTTTCTCACATGCAAATGCTCCTTAAAACGAGACGTGATTCTCTGTGGAATTACTGAAAATAGAGGTGCCAGAAAATGAGAGCTTTTTGTTAGCATTCAGTGTAGCCCTCATGCAAAAACTACTTTCCTAGTTATTTTACTCCATGTAATTACACAGCAAAGCCCCATTTAACATCTCACTACATAACAGCAACTTTTTATTTCAAAACAGATTAATGTAAGAGTCACCCAGCTATTTTAAGAGATAATAGTTGTAATTAAGGTATTTCTTGTGATGGGTTCCTATTATGATGTGGCAGATGATTCTCTGATAGTTTTGTTGGCTGCATTAGTCACAATTGTTTTCATTAATATTGGCACTATTCTCTTGCCACACAAACAGAAAAGGAGATTAATCAAAATACTGTGCTGGTTTCCTATGCTCCGAGCCTTCTTTTGGACTGATGCTTTCAGTAGGAATAAAGAGCAGGTTTTGTAAGACGCACAGACAACTTCACCCATGTTATGTAAAGCAATATTGTAAGAACAGTGGGGGAGAATGATTTTATTGAAAATGTGAAAATAAAGCACTAATGAAACTTATATGTTATGATTTCTAAACATCTCATCCCATTCCAGTTTGGGTGTCAGTGATGTGAGATTGCTTGAGTGTGTCCAGACTAAGGAATGAGGTGAACATGTACATGTGGGTTCATTATTCTGAAGAAAAAATTGCATAGGCCAAGGGAAAACTGGCACGTGAGCAATTTGGGATTGTGAGGCTGGCTCAGGAAATTGGGGGTCTCCAGTGGCAGACCTCCATGGTGATGGCTTGGGATGGCCAAGCAGCTTCTTGAGTTTCAAAATGATGGGACAAAAAAGTGTCTTTTTATACCATTATTTCCAGTGAAACCAATGAAGTTAAAGTGGATTTGAGTTAAAAACTCCTATAAATGTTTATTTTCAACAGGCATCAGTTCTACGCCACCAGCTGCAGCTGTCAGAGGCTGCTCCTGAGCAAAGTTGTCACAGCAAGTCACCCAGAAAAATCTATGTCGAGTGCCAAAAATGAGAAGGGCTGAGGCAGGCAGGGAGCATGATCTCATATAACTCACAGCAAAAAGAGGCGCAAAGGAACAGCTTTGCTCTGAGGAAATTCACACACTGGTTTCCAGATCCAGCAGTTTGCTGATTAAACAAGCAAGGGAAGAAAACCAACCATAAAATGACACATTTGAGAGCACTGTACATACTGAACACTGTGCCTGAGGTAGCTAAATGTCTGTTGGAAATATACCTGTTAAATAAGATAAGTCAGTTAAAATTGATTTCTGTAGATTTGCATACTATGAAGAAATAGGAAACTGAATCCTTCAATCCCAGTTTTCTAGAGGAAAACTGAAAATACCAAGGGAAAATAATCTTAGCAAACGTTTTCATTCACTTTCTGCATTCAAATTCTGGTTACTAAGAGGCAGGCTCCTAAATAATGTGTTATTCACAGAATTTTGTTGACAAAAGATGCACTGATCGAACGGCTCCAAACCTTCCTTGCATATCATCCGTGTATTTACAGCACAGAAGGCATCACGGTGTGTAAATGTTTTTGGTTTTGTAGGCAAGATGTTTTCGTATAATTAAGACATATTTTTGTGTAACCATTCAAATGTGAACTAGTATCTTGTGTTTTGGTACATAAAGGAATATGTACTGCACATTAGAGTACCCTTAGAGTCTGTAAAATGGCAAATAGCTACGTTCTATCCAAATGTATTGCTAAGCTGTATATCTATAGCAGCTTAAAGGGATGAAATCACCAGAGCCTGAGACCAAAGGGCCTTATAAATCATTCATTACTGAAGTGAAAATAATAACAAAAATAATCTCAAAGTAAGAAACATGCCTTCTCCATGGGAGGTCTCAAATGCCTGCCTCCTGCCATAACATTGACTTTTAGAGGCTAGAGGGTCGTAAGACCATGGCTCACTATTAATTGCCTTGCTGACCTTTGTAACATGGGCTCAAATCTTGCTGCACCTCCTGATATTTTGTTTTGTTTCTAGGGGACCTGCAGGTCACTGAGACTTTAGTCCCACTGGGATATGTCTAGGGACCAGTGGTCCTATGGAACCAGTAGGTTCCTATGGTCCCTGCAAACAAGCCAGTGTGCATGCCTGTTTTCCTGCTATCTAGTCTCTGCTCTGGACACAAAGAATATCCTCATGGGAATGCAAAACTCAATAAATTTACATTACAAATCCAAACCAAAACTGCTCTTCTAAGTTCTGTATATAACTTTTTAATCCATGACCCCAAATTACTTTTTGCTAATGTTTTGTAAAATGATCCCGTAAACTCCATTACTGAAGGCTATGCACTCACATATATAAGACTAATGAAACCAGCTACATGAATTGCAGCAACGAAGACTTCAGCAAAATCAATATTCAAAAAAACCAAACCCAGATTTGTACAAAAGCAGCAAAATACATTGTGACACTGATGTTCCAAATTCATTACTGCTCAGTGTCTGTGGAACAAAACTATTGGCTGTAGAAGATGTGAAAAGCATAAGGTTTCAATAAAGAGGAAGTGTATAATTCTTAAAATGAGAGCTGTGGTTGTACACAGTCTTTAGAAAATAATTGTCATTTTAGGTGAAAAGTTGCTGTATTTTTGGTGAATCAGGGCAGAATATTCTTGAATTTCTACTTTAATATATGAGAAAGTTCTATGCTACCAACAGGATTAAACAGAGGTAAATCAGAATGGACCTTCCATCACTGAAAAATACAAATAGTGTAAAGATCATACAACTCTGTGGAAATATATTGTAGGGGATGGTACAGAAATTGTTCCTATGTCCAAAGTAATAGAAACAACAATAATGATATAAAGACTTAAAGAAGAGAAAGAAACAGAAGCGTACACTTACAGTCTAGTAAGTCACGTTCTATTTGAGGTACGATGAAACAGTGATTGGTGATGTGCATCACTGAATTTGTTACACATTGCTCAGGACAGTGATAAAGTATGTCTGATCAACAGCAGTGTGTGGGATTTCTCTGCTGGCTTCCTTTGTGTTGTCCTCAGAGGGGCATCAGCATCCCTGAGTAAAGCTGCATCCCTGACGGCTTGGGGAGCTGCTGCTAAGGCCTGATTCTTGTTTATTGTTTTTCTGAGCCACTGCAAAGCTTTGTAATTGTGGTTGTGATTTGTGTTGCTTCCAGGGTAATAAAAAGCAATTTGGGAGTTTAAAGCCCTGGTTCTGTGCTAGGGTTAAACATGCACTTAGCACTTGTTCAGTCTGTGAGCTTATCATCAATGAAAACAGAAAAATGAGCATATCCCTAAAGTTGTGTATGTTGTTAAGCACTGGACTGAATCATTGCCTCCATCTCTATTCTGTTGACTGAAGGTAATTTCTGATTAATTTTCATAAACCCAAATATAAAGGGAGTGTTTCATTGTACTGCCTTGTGCAAAAAACTTCACCAGAAAGATGCTTGTAGTGTCAAATCGGGGTCTGTCATCAGTAGGGGACAGAAATGCTGAAATGTGCATGCTTTTTGCCAACAAACCTTCCTCCACAGTTTTCTCTTTGGAAATGAAGAAAGGATTATTTGGGCACAATAGCGTAGGTGTGTTCTGACTATTCAGTCAAAGCCTTTGGAATATGGCAAAACATGGCATAAATGATGCTGTTGGCAGTAGGCTCCAGGATTGCACTCATAGCCTGGAAGTGATGGGAAGCTTTAAGTTCATTAAAGGTTACAAGTATTTACTAACTCTTGCATATCTAAAAACTAAGCATGTACAGTAGCTTTGCTCTCATTAGGCTTCTGTCCTTCCAGTTTTCCAGTTTATGGAAACCTTGTGTATTATTTCGAGTCAGAAGAAAGGTTTCCTCCAGAAGTGATGCTACTCTGTGGCTTCACCCTGGAGGTGACATTATTTCCTGGGGTGTGTGTTTTCCCCATGGGAAGGATCTACCATGTTTCATTGCCTGACAGATTAAAACCCCACACCCAATAGGCATCACAAAACCTGTATGTGGCCATATGATGTATTTTACATAAAGTGGCTGCTGCATATGGTCTGCCAGCCTGTGGCAGATGGCTTTCTGTATGTGACACGTGAACTCCAATCTTACAGAATTTCTACAACTGCCATTTTTTATTTCTGCACAAATACACTGTCATCCACCTGATATTTTAAATGAACAAAGCACAGCATTCACCAAAGTAATGACTTCACACATATAAGGCAACCATCGGAAACACCTAGTACTTGCGCTCTGCGACCACTGACGGGACATCATTAAGGAGATGCTTGTCCCTAGTCTAGGGAATGGTAGGACACTGTTTCATAGGGACAGGAGAAGAACAGTACTCACTTTTCTGAGCAGCTGCTGTGCTTATGGGCACAAACACAGCTAACGGGACCCACAAGAAGCGCCATCGCGTGAACACCACAAAGGGACTGGTGGAGAATGGAGGTCCACCATGCAGATCCCACCCTCCAGCTCCCCTCCTCACACAGCAGCACAGACACACTTCTACAAGGAGCAGCAGGCAAATCTCACAAGGGAAACACAAGCACGAGCACAACCCTGGCTATGGGTTCATTTTCAGCCCGAGACACAAAGCCAGTTCGGATTTCTGAATTTTGCCATCTTTGTTCACGTCGCAGTGGTTGAGCAGGATCTGGCGGAACTTGTCCAGGTCCACCCCGCTAATGCTGGGCTGCAGGCAAAAGATAAAGACAGTGCTGAGAGAGAAAACGGCTCTGGATTCCCTCAGCTCTGTAAAGCAGCAAGCTGTGCAGCAGCTGGAAAATCCACCTGAGGAAGGGTAACCAAATGGCCTGACCCTACATCAGCTCATACACAGTGGGGAGGCAAACAGAGCATGAGGAAAGGGCACCCTGCAAAAACAGAAGGGGTATGGGACTGTGAGTAACTGTATGGAGGTGCAACATGATTTTTGTGTCTATTAGTCAAGGCCATCAGTATCCTATCCGTATCAAACAAAAGTCTGCAGAAAGGTGTGCAATACAAATCACTGCACTTTTCTACCTGTGCTTTCATTTGGTTTCCTCTCTCAAACCTGCTACATGAGGAGTGATGTGGCATTTCTGTCAGCAGGCTACTATTTTACAGGCTAGTCAGCAACTTAAAAATACCTTTAGTGGATCATATGAATGCTAAAGACACGCATTACAATCTACACTGTCTCTTTATGTTCCTAATGCTGTACTGCTTTCTCTGGTTCTACACACTGGATACGGTATTCTTGACTAGAGATAGACCTCAAGTAATTTTCAGGTGTAGCCCTGTGATGAACTAATGAACCATGAGGTCATTCTGGTGAGGGCTACGTCCACAGTGAAGAAAGAACTTCTGATGACTGATCCATGTCAACACAATTTGCGACGCTAACATAAACCATCTTGCCTAATTCGGAGTATGAGCTAGAATGGATCTTCCTTAAATAGCGCTGCAGAGTGAAGTTGTATTAATTTGTCAGGCAGAATTTCTGTGATATGATTAAATGCTCCACAGTGTATACGCTGAGACTGACATCCATTTCTGCTGATGATTAAATTTGTCTTACTAGCCCCTCTATTTACTTAACTTTTCCCAAACATGCACCCTCCTCTCAGAAACAGGATATTAACGAACAGAAAGAGCCATGAAGCTACCTGGACCAGTTCCATCATGTCTTTGACAAACCCATCCACTTCTGGGCCTTCTAGTGCTCCTGTTTTACTCTGAAAGATGAAATAAACTCAAAACATTCCAATGTGAGTCAAAACCACTACAATGTTTACTGGTCAGTAGGTTCACATGGTCACTGAAATTTGTAGCATAAAGATCATAGAATCGTAGAAAGGTTTGGGTTGGAAGGCATCCTAAAGATCATCTAGTTCCCCAGGCAGGGACACCTTTCACTAGACCAGGTTGCCCAAAGCCCCCTCCAACCTGGCCTTGAACGCTGCCAGGGCAGCCACAGTTTCTCTGAGCAACCTGTGCCAGTGTCTCACCACCTTCACAACAAAAAATTCTTCCTAATATCCAGTGTTCTTTCCTTTTTCCCAAAACATCTCCCCTCAAAAGGGAGCAACATCTCCCACCATTTTTTGTGGCTTGCTGTTCACCACACTTAGGAAGTTGTTAACTGCCAGAGTGGCACTGAATTACTGATTCCTGACAGCAGTTTGCTGATTATGTCTGTCCTGGGCCAGACTCCCTAAATAACCCATGGATCAGTACAGGAAGGGGTTTTCATTTCAAGGTGGTGGTGATGCAGGTCCCAAACTGCCAGAGACTGCAAATGCTAAAGACATGACCTCCTCTACGTCTCTTGAGTCGTTTGAAGTGAAATGCTGCTAATGCAGCAGCACTGGCTGCCGTGATGAAGAAAGTCAGAATGGGTCCTTTGCCACCAGCTATGGTAGCATCGCTTCCCTCTGCCCCCACCTTACATCCAGCGCTGGACCCCTCTGGCCCATGGTCTCAGGCACAACTGCACCTCCTGAATGATCCCCACAGCACCGAGCAGGAGGAGTAAGTCTGAGTATGCTAAATCTGTGTGATTTAAAGACTGCAATGGAATTGCTTCTGGGACTCACAACATCATAGTGTGCAAAGATCTTCTCAAAATCTCTCCTCCTCTCTTCCGTGCTGCAAGCCTGCATGAGAAGGGGACAAGCAGATGAAAAGTACATTTAAAAAAGAATCAAGTTTGGGCCCAGGTTATCTCAGCTGAGAGAAATGGGATTGATACATTGTCCTGCTGAACCCAGGACAATGCATCACCAAGTAGCACTACTTACATCCATTTTAAATTGAAGAAGGAAATTTTCCTGGAGAGCCAGAATCCTGAATGGAGACATTTAAATTATGATCTTTCCACTTTATTATCTGCACACAAACTTCTGGGTCATAAAGCAAAGGGGTTTTAGATTATGGGCTTTTCAAAAAGAAAATTGCCTGTAGGGTTATTTACAGAGGGCTGTTATGGGAACATATGCCCCCCTCCCTGGCTGATGGGGAATGGTGGGTGCCCTTTGTCTCACTACAAATGAGTTTCTTAGCACCATTGCTTCTCCCAAACCATTTCCGGTGGTCCTGCACAATGGAGGTTGACAGCTTTGGAAGCAAAAGCTACCAGACAATCATTCCTTGTAACTGGACTGCTGTGCTGCATTAAAGGAAAGAGTAATTTATCACTCTCTTTTGGAGGGAGAATTGGTGGTTGTAAAAGACAAAGTACTACTGGCCTGTGCACTGGGACTGGCCAAATTCCTCTCCTTTCCCCTCCCAAAGACCCTTAGAGAACTGATAAAAACCTTTTCTCTCTGGCTGCTCTGCTAACCCTGAGGTTTTTAGAGCCTATGACACTGGGCATGCTGAGCAGTGCCTGCACACAGGAGGGTTGGGGCTGGGGTGTGAGAAATGTGCTCAGACCGGAGGGGAGCCTCAACTGGCCTGGGGTAAGGCACCAGCAGGGAACTGCAATGAAGAGGAAAATGCAACAGCAACCCCCTTTAAATATTCTCTATTCTCCTTCTTTCTCTTAATGTATTCAGTGGCCAAAGGGAACTGCTATATGCACTGCAGTTATTTGTGCTGGCTTGCATCATGATCCCAAGCAGAAAGAAACAGTGGCAAACCAGTACCTCTCTCCTCTCATCTCCCAACCTGGTGTTCTAAGACTGTACTTGCATGTTTGAAGTTTTGTGCAGTCACTGCACATAAATTTACAGACAGAGGCATACTCTCTATCTGCATGCAGTGAAAATCATATAAAGAAACCTCTAAGGATAGAAAAGAGACTGTGGTCCATGACTGAGTCCCCAGCCTCATTCACAAGTGTCTTCACGTTGTTTTTCCAAAAACATTGGCAAAATGCTTTGTGGTGGCACTTTTATTCCTCAAACAAGAAAGAAAAGTCCTTTGCAATCTCTGCTGTGCACAATGATGTGAAATGCACACATCCATGGCCCTGCTGAAGGGATTGCCATCCTTTTTTGGAGAAGCAGTGCCACTGGCTGCTTTGTCACCTCCCGAGGAGCATTGGAGAGGTAGCACAGATCATGCCAGAGCATGTCGATAATGCACAAGCAGGTCCTGGCACTGCTCACTGTCACAGGCTCTGGGTTCTCAGATTACTGCGATGGGGACCATATGTTAGAGACCTGTGATACCTACATCAGAGTCCCTGAGTTAACTTGAAAGGAGGTAGGGCTCTAATGCATGTGTCCAGTGGGAGATCGTCACCTTGCCTGGATCTGCCACTGAGAGCTGAAAAACCCCATCAATACTACTCAAGCACACCTTGCCAGGTCATTCAGATCCAGTCGTCCATCTTTGTTTTTGTCAAAGATTTTCATCTAAAAATCAAGAAAACAGAGATGAAATAGGGAAGCCATGAGGAGAACACACATAAAAAGAGCAGTCAGTACATATTTTACTCTATCCTGTGCCCTCTCTTTGCTTGCTTGGGGTGCTTGCCGAAGCCCCTGGCAGGATGTCCTCTGCTAGCACCAAGTGCAAGGGTGGCGCGATTTTCTGAGCTGGTGGTTTTCAAATGTGTCTATTTCTGAACCCCTCACAATATTCCAGCAGTGGCACAGACCCCATTAAACACACTTGGCTGCAGAGACAATATTTTCCTTATTGGAACTGTAACGAAAGGTAACATCCCCAAGAAACAAATAAAATTTATTTCATTTGCACCCTATCTTTGACCTTAACATTAACATCAACATAGTGGTTGACTGTGTCTATTTACAGCTAACCAGCTCCCCTCTCTGACCTCCTTCACTCAGCTCTGCTGCTGCAATACCAAGACAGAATCTTTGTGATTTCAAATTGTTTGGCCTTTTTTTCTGCAACAAGTATCCTGAATAAATTTTTCAGACATATGCCATATTTTGATTGTCCATGCCAGTCAACAGAGAAAAAATAAATGCCTGTCTGGAAGACGTAAGCCAAGCTAATTCTTGTCCTGTGACTTCCACATGAAAGATGGAAAACATGTAGGGAAGATGGACCAGTGTTTACTGAATTAGTTCAGGTACCACAGCTAATAAGATAGACCTAATCCTATTATCTGGAAAACTCGAACTCATGCATACCCACTGCATGGCAATCTTGGGCTGTGTTACTTGGGAAAAGCCTTGGAAAATTTATTGGGAAATCTTGGAAAGCTTATGAATTAAACTTCCAGTTTTCAAGCATGTGTTTGATCTGATCTGCCAATTGAGTGCATACTACACAACAAACAACAGAGGGTACCTACCCAGTGTTATGAAGCATACATCAAGGGAGAAGCAGATATTTGAAATCATTATGAGATTGTTTTAGTTTACGCTTTTTACCTTTACGCACCATCTTGATACGTTAAACTGTGTGGATTTTCAGTTTACACTCCTGAAAGGTGTATTTATGCTGCCAGGCTGACATGAAACATCCCAATGTGGTTAAGGATAAGGTCTGGCATGTTTAAATAGCACTGCATTTCAGTAAAAGCTTTGTTGCATCTAGTAGTATGCTTTATAAAATGATGCATTTATTTTACTGTCAAGCTGCCCCATGTTTTAAAGCGTTTGCACAAATTAATTCACTGACATTTTAATAGCACCAGGGAAGTCTTAGCTCTATTTACTTGAATGCAGTCCGTGCATTCAGAGGCAGACAGAGCATAAAAGTAAGAGCTGGGTTTGCAAAACAAGAGTTGTTACATCTCATGTTTTTAAGTGCAAAATCGAAACTGCCATTGGCTTTGAATACAGCAAAGGAAATATCTCTGCTTTCCCAGTCCAGTGTTATCAAGAAGGCCACTGAAACACCACAATATGACAGACACATGTGCTTTGAAGAGCAATATAAGATTATAAATGTGAAATATTTTCCATGACAGAGATAAGGAAGGAAGTAAACAACCAAAATAAATAGTTCAGTGATCAGTGGGCTCACTAAAGCCTGCTTTTAAACCTTCTCTGGTTCTGGTTGTCTGTGTGCAATAAAGTGCTTTATCCCCCAGGTGGAACACAGAAAGAATTGCCTCTTGCCTGAGCTCCTATTCTCACAAATACATACACTGTGGGCACCTATACCCGAGAGCAGGAACTAAAACTGGCTAGTGAGTTCCAAAGTTATTAAAGGAGCATAAAGACAGGAATGTGTTCGAGCCATAAGACTGCCTGTGTCTTCTTTCCTTAGGGAAGGAAGGGGAGGGGGAAACAAAGGCTTTTGCAGAGCAACAGGAGGGCCCTGCTGCCCTCAGATCAAAATGGTCGGTGCTCTTCCTGACCAGATTGCCTGTGTAAGCTAGAGAAGTCATTTAGTGCAGGATTTCTGAGAGTGTTTTGGTTCCTAAAAGACCAAGGCGTTATCTGCTGAGGCTTTCAAAAGCCTGCAGGCTCCTGAGTTCTGTTGCTTTTGATCTTCAAAAATAAAGTTTAAGCTTAAATGGGATTTTCTGCTTCCCCTGGCTTATGCCACAGGAAGTATGGTGTGAAACTAGAGGTGACAGCATCATCGTGATCAAGTCTAGAAGGCAAAAGGGAGGCAGATTTCCCTCCTGTGTGGGTCCTCTCTTTATCCCACACAGCAAAGCAACAAGAGGAATCACACCCACCCAGAGCCAGTAGGAAGCTCTTCGGAAATGGGGTGGCTCCTATAGTGGTGGCTGGGGGTAGGAGATGTGATGGTTGCAGTGCAGTGCATCACTGCAGATGCAGTCTTTTGGAGGTCACAGCATCCTTACGGAGCCACCTGGGAGGGAGGCCAGCATGAACCATTGCCAGGAGAAGGGATGTATAAAGACCTCCTCCAGGCAGCCAGTCTTCTAGGCTATAACCCACTCCTACTATATTTCTAGAGCTTTGGGAGGTTTGCTCAGTGTGTTAATAAGCATAACAAACTCTTTTTAGGCTTTTTTCAGTACAATAAATATTTGCCTTTCCATTACTGCACCATTACTTTGGTGATCATAAGAGACTCCATTAACACAGATAAGCTGGCTTGGCCATAAGGCATTAAGGGGCTAAATGACCTGTGATTTCTGTGCTGTGACTTGTTTCCTACATAAATACACTGGCATTGGCACTGAGCACAGACAAACAGACAGGCTTTCACAGCTAAAGAAATGGCCACACTGAGCCTCTATCATTGTCCTCACAGATGGGACAGACAGCAGCCTCAAAAGCACCAGAAATCCCTGCAATGTTCAGTAAAGATAACTCACCATGCATACTCATGGGCACAGACCAGCTTCAGGGAGAAGTCATCCTGTTCCCCTCTGCACTGAGAAGATGAGAAGCCCCCAGCTTGTCAGCTGGAGGCTGGCATGATTGGGGTACATAGTTCAGTCCCCAGGAGAAACTTTGCAGATGAGCACAGCAAAACCCTGGCGTCGTTGCAGCTGGGAGGATTTCTATATTGCCTTCTCTGGGGTTCATATTTCATCCTCTGCCATCTCCTTCTGCAAGCTCTCAAATGCTGCAGTTCATGACCCTTGCTTGTTGAGTTATTATCACTGCACTTACATTATTGCCTCTCTAGAATTTATCTTGCGATGAGCAAAGATGGTATGCTGCCTTGGGAGGGTTTATCCTTTACATTTTCCTCAAACATAAAAATGCTGAAACTAAAGGACTTTTTCATGCTCAGTCTGACATTATCAACATAAGGCAATGCAAAAAGTGAATGTCAGTGTTGCATGTGCGACTGCTTCAGCAGTATATATATATAACTTAATTTGCTGAAGTTTGCCTCAGTAATGAGCTTGCCCTGAATGTGGCTTGTAGACGCTAGAATTACTAACTAGAAGTAGCATGCTGCTATTTGCAAAGCTGTGGACTATCAGTGCTTCTATGGAAAAGGTAGCAACATATGCCAAGATGCAAAAGCTGAGTGAGAATTTTGTTCTTAGATAGGAGAAAGGATGAATATTTCATTTCATCAGAAATTATGTCTTAAATCTTGTTCATATTCCAGCGTTTACAATATCTGGTACATTTAAAAGTACACAGCTGTATGCATGCACACGCATGGAAGCTGTCACTCATAACAAAATATTGTCAAATGCATGTGTAAGCTGGGTATTCATGGGCTGAAACTTCACCAGGACCCAGAAGCCTAATCATACCTTGATTCTGGGGACTGAAAGGTGGTGGTAAGGGATTGGGAAAGGCTGGTAGTACTGCTGTGATCCTCCACAGCCTCCTTCTCATCATGAAGCAATAAGGGGGTAAATTTTAATTTCTCCAACTTGTTATTTCAGAAAGGCAGACTACTCCCACCATGCTCTTAAACCCTTCCATTCTCAGCTATGCTTGTCCTGTCTCCTGGAACAGGACCCGCAGGATCACTTCTCATGGACTGGAGAGTCTCAGAGCAATAGAAGGCTTTGCTTCAGCCTCCAAGTACCTGCTCCATGCTGACAACTATTGGTTTGCACCCATGGGAAGGCAACAAACCTACTGTTTTCAAGGATACAGAGCTACACATGACTGTGTATCTTCTCATGCAAGCGGGTGCCGATAAATAAACATCAATACACACTTAATGACTATTAATACAAACATACATATATGCAGGTACGACAACTAACTAGAACTATGCCTGCAAAGGGGCTTCCTCAGCACAGGGTTGCTACTTTAAATCCCCCATGGAGAGTCCTGAGAATTAAAATGTTTTTATTTTGTGGTTTAGTGCTATTTAAGATTTGATTTAGCAGACTCCTGGGGCTTGTGCAATGCCAATGCATTCACTACCTGTTTCCTTTCCAGGAGTTCATTACTTGTTCATCAAATCGCTGATCTCTATTAGTGCTCTCTAGAGGATTTCAAGGTCACAAGGAAACAGAATAGCATCCTAAGAAATGGCTTCGAAGCAACCCGATAAAGTGATATTTCTTTCTGGAGACAACAAATCTCTTCCAAAAGAAACACTTTCTCCCTCTTTCCAGATTTTTTTTTTTTTTAATGTGGTTTAAGGTCATTCATGGAAACATAAGTGACAAGTATTTAGCATAGCCTGGTTAATATGATATCTGCTCACACCCCTCACAAGCTAAAGCAGCAAATACTCAGCACAGAATCACAAACTGCCTTTTTTCTTTCTTTATCTTTTTTTTAACTTCATGCCTGGGTGAGCTTCTTTAAAATCACAGTTTCTGTCTTTTCCCCTTTATCCCTTTCTCCAGAAGGCTGTACGGTCCACTCAGGGTATCAGTAGCTTCTTAGGATGTGTGCAGTTGGCTGTGAATGCACAGAAAAGAGGGCAGAGATCTATAAAATCCTGTGGAGACAGATGGGCTTACAGCTCCTTGGGGCACAGCTTATTTCAAGTAATGTTATTACAGTGGCACTTGAAAGCCCTGAGTTGGAGAGATAGGCCACCATGAGAGACCCTGTAGCCGTGTACAGCAGAAACAGACGCTTGTCCCAAAGACCTTTTGCTCTAAACAGATAAAAGAGTGAGAGCAAAGTAATAGGGGAGAGAAATATTTCCATTCTGCAGTAAATTAATGGGTGCAGCTGGTTACTAAAGATACATCAGGAAGTCTGTGAAAGCCTCAAGAGTGAAATGTAAGGGCCACTGTCCCTCTGTTTTCTCAGACAGTACTGATGGTGGCAGGGTTCCATCACAGTTCTGCACTTTGGCAGCTCCCAACTCCACATGGAAAGCAGAGAGAAAGCAAAGAGCTTTCATTGCCCTGGACCTTGACATCATACCTTTGCTCTTGGCTCCTTGAGTCACTTCTGCCTTTTTAATCCAGCACTGCAAACGTAAGACTGAATCTTTCCTTCCTTCTTTGTAATTTTGCCCTCCTACTTCAGGTAAGTTCCATGCTATCACTTTGTACAGTTTATCTATCTGCTACTATGCAGATAGGGTCCATGGGGATACTTTGCCGTGATGTACAGAATTCATATCCTCTCTTTTACTACAGGATATCACAGGGTAAGATTGCACGTGTTGTAATGTCATACCCTGCCTTAGCTCTTGGGATCAGGTGTGTTGGTAAATATCCTTGATCTTCAGTTTATAGCAAGAAATTGCAAGGGGAAAAAAGTCATCTGCCATATCCTCATTTTCTAGTAACCATTAACATCCCTGATTCTTTTGACATTGAAGCTTTCCAGTGTTTTGTCCTCATGAGCCAAATCTGCATTTTGGATCACAGATTTCCCCAGATAAACAACACATCTCTTTTCCCAGATCAAAATTTATCCTGTGACACAGAGACCAAACTGCCTCTCCAAAGACACAAAGCCAACGTATAAAAACCCATGTGATAAGAAAGCAGGCCTCCTGGCTGTCAGCCCCAGGCTGCACTGACATCTAGCTGCATTGAAGCAGCAAAAATGGCAAATCTTTCTTGGGAAATTATGGAAAAGGGAAAAGAGCTGGAGGAAATGAACCTCCCAATGTCTACAGGCTTGAGATTGCCTATTCCCCAGCACCTGATCATAAATAAGCCACTGGGGATGGAAACCTGAATGAAGCGGCATAAAAGCTGTTTGCTACCTGTGAAGAGTACCAGAAAGGTTTTTGCTCTAGCTGTAGCTTCTGGCACCTATTGTTTCCAAGCCCTGCCAGTTGGGAAGGAATTTCTGTTGCCTGCATTCCTCTCCCTTCATTATACTACAAATATGAAAAAAATCCACAATCTTCAATAGTGTTATGGACCCTTTGCTCTAAAGGATCACATTTCAGGCACAGATGCATCATGCACTCATAACTCAGCATCGCAAAATATGCTGGCAGCTCCTTTTTTGCTTGCATACCAAGCTGGTTTTCAGGCACAAGCACAGATTTTGTGCCAGGAATCATGACAGTCCCATCTGAAGCTCATTTAGAAAATTGCAATGGTAGATGTCTGCTAGTGGAACTCAAATGATACCCTTGCGAGTGACATAAGAAATAAGCTTTTTGCTTTCCTTTCCTTTTCTTGTTTTTAGATGGTTAGATGTGATAAGTTGCTCTGAAATCCAGGTGACTGATGCTAAACTTACACCAAATATTATGTTGCTGATTGCAGTATAAAAGCTATATTGTGATAAGGCAGGGAAAGAGTTGAAGCTTCCAACATCCCAGTCTTTCAGGGAAGCAGCAGGGAGCCTTCAAGGCTTGCTGGGCTTCACAGAGCAGAAGAGACAGATACGTGCGTGTCTTGGGAGCAAAATGATTTGCTAGGAGGAAGGGAGGAAGGGAAGGAACTGCAGACCTGGCTGGAGCTGCACACACCATGAAGAAGGATGCACCCCACCTCTTTTTTGAAGGGGCATAGAGCCCTGTTTGCTTTAGCATAAAGTCAAGCTGTTTTCTCATAGAAAACAGTTCAACTCACAGCAAAAACACCTGAAATGCTCTTCACAGCTGACGTCTGGTGCAGTGCAAAGAAACAGCAGCAGCATGTGCAAAGTTCCCAGAGAGATCTCTTGGAGAAGATACACCTTTTAAGACGGCATTTACAGCCCTACAGATACTGACTCTGAAGGAGATTTTTAGGCAGTACTATAATCTAAGCAATATTAACACCATCTTCTCTTACCATGGTATCAGTATATTCTTCCAGCTTCACTTCAGTTACCACCTTGTCATGCTGCAAAAAGAGATCTCGCAGGAAATCCTGTAGGAAGGAAAGAGCAAATTTGGAGTAAATTCAAGAAAAAACAGTAAGAAATTAAATCCAAATTCAGCAGGGTTACATGAATCTGTTTCACATTCCTGACTAGTTCTGGTGTATTCAGTTTCACATAAAGTTCTCTTCTTTTTTAATTGAAACCTAAATAAGTACATTAGAAAATAACCAGATTTCCCCAGAGCAGGCACACTGGAATGAGTCATAATTAACTCACAAAATAAGGAGAAGATAATGTAAGCCCTGCAATGTTTGCTAACTGATCTCAAACCAAAATATCCGTCATTCAGCAAAAACTGAAGCATCCTTTTAGCTCCTTGTTAGGGCACAAGCTGAAACCACACTCTGAGATGTCAGCGCTGGGTCTGTAGCCCAGGGATGGACCCCTGTGCCCAGCTGGCTCAAAGCATTTGAGTTGAACAGGCTTCAGCCTCAATAGCATGAGCTTTAAAAAGAAATCAGTGCTCAAGAAATCTGCAGGCTCAGGAAGAGACTGAAGAAATCCCATTAATAAAACACAACAGCTTCGGATCTGTTTAGCTGGGAGAGGCACATGCGCAAAGCCAAGGTGAGTGCTGCCTCACCTGGGGTGCTTGGGGGTCTGCGAGACAAATGGGATCATGTGATGAGGCAAGGAGAAAGCAGGACAGCAAGGGAAACAGCAGAGCATACTCCGTCCCAGCAGGGTCCCTGCAGCCACACTAGAAGGCTGGAGGATCCCCAGTCCTTAAACTTGCCATGAACAACCTCAAAAAGCTATTTGTCAACCACACAAAAAGGCAGCAAATTGGCAAAGCCATTGTAAAGGCTCCCACTGACATCAGTGAGCTGCAGATCAAGCCCGAAGAGACTTATTAGAATAACTTACTTTGAGCTCACCAGCTGAGATAAATCCACTGCTGTCAGCATCGTAACTGCGCCAGATCTGAATGGGGATAGATTGATATGACCACATAAATATTGCAGTTAATCATCTGCTGGGTGATAGATTGTAAAGATTCAGATCAGAGCTTCCCTAATGAGCAAGCTGTGCATTATCCAATACTTAATTAATTGTAGATGACATAAAATAAACTTTTCACACAATAGCTTTTATTCTCACTTGGATGCTGCACATGTGACATGCTGCTATCACATATTTAATGCAGACACACTGTCTATAAAAGGAAGAAAAGACTAAGAAACTGCTCTGCATTTTTTACCTAATTTGTACATGCAGTTTCTTTTATTGCTCTGAGTAAAAGCCGAGGTCATACAGAACTGGCCATTGATCTGCAGAAGCCCTCTTTTTGATGTGAAATGAAAGTAACTGCAAGTAGTCTTGGAAAAAAATTTGGTGCTGGGATGCTTAGGAGCAGAGACATTGGGCAAGGCTAAGGAAAACTGACGGGATTTTGCTCCTCAATTGACCCATGTTAAGGAGATTTCCACTCTACACCCTACCAGGCTAATGCTTCAGGGTAAAATGGCACTTAAGACATGCCTGGTATGCCTTCTTGGTGTATGCTGTGCTGCAGGAAAGGCAGCTTTGGCTGTAGCTCCCAACAGGGCTGAATTCACCACTGGGTTTGGATTACCATAAAGTTTTGTCTCTGGCAGCATTACTGATAGGTGGCTGAGACTGTTTGCAAAGTTTAATGAGCTCTTTGGGTGCCCTCTGTCCACTCCGAGCTACCACATCTCTATTTTGCTGGTATAAATAACCTTCTCCACAAGAACAGGTCAGAACACATCTTTCTTCCACAATACCCATGTATTTCCAATGTTATGTACTACAGAGACTGGTAGCATACACATTGAAGAAGCTGTTGGTGTTGCAAGGGGAAGAGGCAATGTGGAGATACAGACCCGCATGAATTCCACACTGTTGTCCAAGGGAGTTTCCCGTCGGAAAAGCAGCAAAAAGTTCTCATCATCCGGCAAGATTATCTTTGCAAGCTTGGGGAAAAAAAACAAACCAAAACCAAAATGTAACCAACAACAAAACATATAACCCCCCCAAACCAAACCCGAACTGTGAAAGTAAAGAAAAGAGAAAAACTCAGGTTGCTGCTGACCCAGTATGAGAAATATATACTGGGCACATTGTTGCCTTGGAAATAAAACCCCATACCAAGAGGTCTGGCTACTGTAGTACTCCACAACTCACGTCCTCCCCACTCAGGCTCTATCTTCCATATCTTCTATAGGCCCATTTCATAGATCCATAGAATGGTCTGGGTTGGAAGGGACCTTTAAAGTTCAGATATTCCAATCCCCCTGCAATGGGCAGGGACCTCTTCAACTACATCAGGCTGCTCGAAGCCCCATCCAACCAGACCTTGAATGCATCTACCACCTCTCCAGGCAACCTGCTCTAGTGTTTCACCACCCCCCTTGTAAAAAATTTCTTCCTTTCATCTAGTCTGAATCTACTCTCCTTTAATTTAAAATGACTGCTCCATGTCCTATCCCGACAGGCCCTTTCTGTAAATCCTGGGCTGGGGCTCGGGAGAGATACCTCTTGGATTTGCAAACGTCCATCTGCAGTGACATCATAGGCAGACATAAATTGCTCCTTCATCCTTTGAACTTTTTCTTCTGTGATGGTATTCTGCCATGGGGAAACAACAAGCACATGAAAATTGCTGAGGGCATTAGAAGAGTCTCCTGGAGGAAATCTCTCCCCACTGGTAACCATCAGGATCATTGTATCCTTACCTCCTTCTAAAAGCCCACAAACACATCACCACAGATTAACTTTCGGTAACAAGTCTTATGCAAAGCTCTGTAGCAACTAAGGTTCAGTCGGAAGACCAGTGTTTGGAGACCCCAAAATATTTCAGTGACACCTGCTTCCTTATCCAACTGTTCCCACTGTATCACTGGGATTTGATTTTCCTTGAGTGTGTGTTACAGCGGTTTCCATGCAACTCATTTTCAACTCATGCTTTTCAGGAAGTTGTCCTTATCCTTGAGCTACATCCCTTAGTTCATTACATCATCAGCCCCGAAAGGTGTCAGTGGGGCTTATTATTGCCTGTCAACCGGTTCAAGACCTGGCATGAAACCCTGTCAGTGTTTCTAGGTTAATAGCATGAAATTTCAAGCGATTCACATTCCCTTTGCATCAACCCCATAATCAATTTATACATAGTGAGGAGTTTTCAGGACTTGTCAGGCTGCACGTTTTGACAGGCATCTCTGTGACAGGTGATGATTTCTTTCTCTTAGCAGTAACCATTAGAGTATCTGGCCTGACTAGGCTACACAAAGCACAATTTCCCTACCCTGGGGAAAGGTTTCTGGTCAGACAAGCTTTGTGGCTGGGCTGGGAAGCTCACCTACTCAATCTTGTCCAAGCAGTTAATGAAGTCTAACATTACCCTCCTCACCTGTATTGAGCAGGTCCTGGCTCCTCTCCCAGCCCTATGGGAGGTGGCCCTCTCTGGGACAGTAGATACACTAGGTTGTCACAGAAAATGAGATATCTTAGGCTCAGGTTCATTTAAGCTGAGGTGCACATTTGCACCCACTTTGTCGCTACCTCTCCCCATGTGTTTAGATGTGACTGGTACTTCCCAAAAGCTGTAATTTGCTGCTAGTAATAACAGAAAAAAAAGATAGCTATAAGTAGATGGGTAGGCCGATAGCATGAGTGATCACCTATGATATAATTCGATTTGCCTTCACCCCATTTCAGAGCAGACTCAGAGCACATGAGCACTTATTTGCACAGTCATTATAGGTTTATAAAAAAGCTTTACTGTCAGTGCAGAGGATCATGCACTGAATTCAGGGGAAAAAGAGTTAATTGGCTTTGATTTATCAATGTCAAGTCAAAACAACCAGAGAGAGTTCTGCTTAGAACAAGTGAAGCTCTTCAATCTCTTCACTATCTACGGTACCACAGGACTAGGATGGGTCAGACGATGGAAAGTTTGGGAATCTGGGAGTGGGAATAGGAGGCTAGGGTACCTATATGGGTCTTTGTAGGGCAGGTGGGGTGCAGCTCCTGGGACACATGCTTGGGGTACAATGCTAAGGGCTGGAAGCTCCTAGTTAGGGGATTAAACACCCAGCAGTGATCCCACAGGGATGTGCTCGAGATGGCAATCCCCTTCCTGAAGCCTGCCATTGGTCATGAGCAGGTCCCAGGGCACAGCTGCAGGATACTCCATCCCCATGGTGGTGTTCAGCAAGCCCTGCAGGCCATATGGCTGGGAGCCACAGTGGACAGAGCTTACCACTGAACATGCACATACACTTTTCTTTCCCCTTAGCATTATAACTGGCCATCAGGCTATTTAAATTGCCTTCTGATGGCACCCTGATGCTTCGAGATAGCTCCCAGGAGTTAGGCAAGCCTACCAGTTGCTGACTTCAATAGGCTTGCAAAGTACTCTGAAATTATACTCCTCCGTGCCCAGTTGGATAAGTTATTTCTGAAACCATAATCATAGCTGGTATGTGAAAAGTGTGCTGTGGAGTTCAGACTAGTCACTTGTTAAGAAAGCTTATTGCTCAGCTTCTTGTCAGCCATTAACCACCACCTCATTGAGCATTCTGTGGCAGGAACATTGTTATCTACACAAAAATAGGACTGCCTCCTTTTTTATTATTTATTTTTAAGTGATGTAAACTATAGATTACATCAATTAAATACCGGAAATAGTGACAATATTTACATAGCTCCAGCAGCTTTTAGTCCAAGGGGTTACAACACAGTGGATTTTTTAAGTTGGACAATCTCTCTCTGTCCATAAATATAAAAACTTATAAAACAGAAGTGATAATGGATCTACTAAAAGACATCCTTTACTCTCAATGGATAAAAGATATTGCACAAACTGGCTTTCCCAAGATGCTTGCTCAAGGCAAAAATATTTGTAGAGTATGAAGTTTTACACTGAGAATGATACACTTTGGTTTATGACCATTAGGTTTCAAAAATGACCTTTATGTTTACCAAAAATCCCAATCCTAGAGGATAAATGAATAAATAAATGAATCAAGTAAGCCATACCACTTCCACTGGGGGATACAGGGGTGCCCTCACTGCCTTGGCCACCTTGGGCTGAGGTTGATGTGGGGAGGCCAAGGTAGTAGCTTGGCAGCTTACTGATCAAGATGCCTGATTTTTCATTCTCTGCCTTTGGGCATTTACAAGTATTTCCTTGCCTCCCAGATGAGGGCAAGTCCTGTGATAAAGGGAGAAAGATCAGGATGAGGAAAGCAAGAAGGGGAGACCTCCAGGCAGGCGAACGCAGGGACATAATGGTATTTACATGGGCACACAGGTGCTGCACTGAGTGCTGTGGCCACCAGTTTCCCCAGGAAGTTTGTTTTTCCTTCCTTCCCTTTAATTATTAACTCACCATTCAACTAAGATTGCAACAAGCAGGAAAGCCTAGAAACCAAACACATTCTGCTTTCAAAAGTCTCATTTAATTCCTGCTGGTCAGGACAGGTTTACCATAAATTGATTTTGTTTTTTTCTTTCTTGACATGATTTTTGGAAGCAAGCCACTATATTGATAATGGTATAAAAAGGAAGAAGAAACTAAATGTAAGTGACTATTATAGCCGTTTCTTTATCTGAAAATGCTGGATTGGTTACATGTTTCTGCTAATGTTTCAGCCAAATTTGATAGAAGAGCAAAGCGTCCCAGAGATATCAAGTTCATACAAGATCTATGAAAATAAATTACATCTGCCAAGAAACCTAGTTGGAAAACAAACTCAACAACTATCACCATGCCAAAAGCCACACAGTTCAGAAAGGATGCCAGAAAATACCAGATGAGACATCATTAATGTACACTTTGACGTTAGAAGAACCACTTCTTTCTTGGCCAAAGGTTTCTTCTTTAAATCCTGTAGCTAAAAGAAATGAATCACATGAATGACTTCACTTCATCCATGCAGTTGTACATTGGATTGCCTGTATTAGTGTGGGATTTCACCATGCAGCTCCTGAGACGTCTCATTTGGGCCAACCTTGCTTACTTAACTGCAGTGCTATCGCTTGAGAATTTGGGCCTGTATTTTAGTTAGGATTTACTGTAATCCTGCATGCTACAATAGATGAGTGCTTATCCTGTCATCTCACGCTGCGTTTTTTGCTCTCATCAGCATATATGTGGGAAATATTTTTTCACATAGAAGACACCACCATACAACAAAAGCTATTACAGTCTTCCCTGTGCCAGCACGGTTTTGTGGTTAGGCTTTGGACAGGTTCTTTGTTCTGTCCTTTCCACTAGGCTGGAAGTCTTTTGACATGCCTTTGGGCACTCAAAGCATATCATGTCTGTCTTTTCCCATGGGCACGTTGAGTTTGCATTTAGAGATACTTCCAGGCACTTGCAGCGCCCTACCTTAATGTTCAGGAACAGGAATAACAAGGCTATGGTAAGGCTAATCAATGCTGTCAAAAGCCACACCTAAAGAAATAACTACTGTGTCAGAATCAAAGAATGGTTTAGGTTGGGAGGGACCTTAAGGATCATCTAGTTACGTGGCCAGGGACAGCTTCCACTGGATCAGGTTGCTCCAAGCCCCATCCAACCTGGCCTTGAACACTGCCAGAGATGGGGGAGCTGCAGCTTCTCTGGGCAACCTGTGCCAGGGCCTCACCACCCTCACAGTAAAGAACTTCTTCCTAATGTCTAAATAATCAGGATTGATTCAAGGTTTAGATTTCTGAATTAGTCTGGAGAAGGATGAAAGATGAATGCTTCCTGTTAGAAGTCTTGTTGCTGTAAACCTAATGGTCACCAGAGACCTGGTCTATCATCCTGGGTCTCTTGGATTGGTAATATATAGGGGAAGTCTGCTTTGGATGGCTTTGAGGCTGGCTGGTATTTTGGCCGTTGAACTTTGAATGATTAGGTGCTGCATTCGTGATCATACTAAGTTAAACACATAAATTAGACAGACAACGCACTGTGTGAGGCAAAGATGAAGTACAAGAGCAACTGGAGGCTGCTTATCTTCTTTGGAAGTAAAAAGCAAAGACAAATCCTTTATGACTGTTTCTTCCAGTCCTAGCTACCTACACGGTTTGGGCAGGGGGATTGGAACAAGGCTAATACCTGTCTTGCCTGATCAAATTTACACATCAAAAATATTTACATGTGGTTTCTCACACACTTACAGTTAGGTGAGGGCAACCAACTTTTATCTGAGACTCTTCTGTCTAATTGAAGCAAAGTGAAAGGCCTGTCTGTGAAAGCCCAGAGAGCATAATGGCAATGAGCCTTCTGCATCTGCCCAGACATCACTGGGTTTATGGAGATTTTCAGTAATCCAAACCCCAAATTTGTAGCCATTCATCTATAAAAAGCTTCTTGTCTAATCATTATGAGAATATACATAAAACGGCATTGAAACTATAGCAAAGAGCAAGCAAGGAAGATGCTAAATGATCTCTATACAGAAAGAAAGATGTACAGCAATGTAAGAGAGAAAGGCAGGGGCTGTAGTTTCTGTTCCAACAAAATTACTCCTTCAGTGGTGAAAGAAATTCCCTTTTTTTTCCCGAATGAATTATCTCCTTAATATAAAAACTAGAAAATGCATGATAGCCAAAATGTACGATGAGAAGTTTTATGAGTGAGCAGACAAGAGCACAGGCCGCTCACAGCAGCCACGAAGCAGCAGTTGGAAGCTGGAGGTTCGAATGCTTAGAGAGAAGTCATAGGAGTAATAACAACAGCAGATGGGTAATGCCAGCGTTCAAAAAGCTCTGCTAGCGTGTGGCTGCATTATCCTCTATTCTGCCTCATATCCCCCAAACAAATCAAACTGCAGAAGCCCCTCCAGCTGATGGAGAATTTATATAAACTTCAGTGTCATAAAACACTGAAGTCTTACGGATACGTAACGCACACCTGGAAATCAAAGGCATTTCCTTAGGAACAAACCAGAACAGAACAGGACAGAATAGAACTGATCAGACTATTTTGTTTGCAAGAGACCTACACCTGACCACTTCAGCATGTTGTGAAGGGCATTTTCCAAATGCTAGAGGAGGAGAAACAGGAAGCAGCATCTGGGATGTAGATCAGTTTAATGTAGGCCTACCTTTGTTGCAAAGTTCACCCCCCCACCCCCCCCCAAATCTTGATGGTTCAGCAAAAGACGATGAGTTAGCCTCCCTTGCTGGATGATATTTCAAGCTTTCTTCCTTGCTGGGCGCCGTCAGGAAGAGCTGTGCCTCTCAGCTTCCCAACAGGCTCCCTTTTGCATTGTTTTCCCAGCTGCTCTCATCCCCCTGGCATTTAATGTCAGCTGGGGATGCTGCAGGGAAGAAAAACAGAGCTGAAGGACTACAGTGGTCATTAAGAAAAATAACAGCTTAGAGAGTGCAGGCTGAAAAAATATAATTATGAAGCCATTCGCTATTCAATTCAAGTGAGACAACTTTAAGTGCTGCTAACATTATTTATCACTTGCATGGCACTTCAGGCACGGTCACTAATTAATCCCTGTGACACATCTGGAAGTTATGCCAGCGTGTCACTGTCTCCTCCTTTTACTGTGCAAGGAAACAGAGACATTAAGAGCCAAAGGAAGAAGTAAAGGTCAAAAGGAGCACTGAAGCACAGAGACGCTCAGTGCCATCTCACTGCTTGCATCAAGGACACTTCTTTTCTGTAAGGTGGTGAATACCCGTGCAAAGGGGATCCTTTTCCTCTCCTACTATAACCACAACCCGTACAACATAAATCATGCGAAAAAGGCAAAAATGGCTCAATGCTGTTAGACAACATTGTAGGTCTCTTGCCTATTCATTCTCTTTAACAGGGAGAGAGGGAGATAGTTCTTTCTTTAGTCAATTTGTGTTAAGCTTTTTCTTTTAATGGCAAAACCTAGGCAGCAGAAGCAAAGGAGATGCAAGCGACATGAGGGTGCTGGTTTAAGATGGAGTCAGCTGAGCAGTGACTTTTGGCAATCAATGAAACTGTTCCCGATTTCTTGAAGCAGAACAGTTCATCACTAACACACCCTTACTTTGTGCTGAATGTAATAGAGTTCATGTCGATATCAGCAAGACCACAAAAACTGCTGTGGCCCACTGGGTTTGCAACCCACCTGGTGTGAAGCTGTTTCCAAAAGCTCACATGAGGGATGTGCAAAGGCAGTGATGGGCTAGAGTGGAGCTGGAAGTTTCCTCTTGACCTCTCATCATTACGAACCTGCCTGCAGTGTGAGATCCCTGGTTAAACTTCACTTTAGCTAACACTGGAGAGCCCCACTCAGAGGTCATTTCTTCAATGACCCACTACAGTGTTGAGCTCTGTGGCCTCATTTCAAGCCTCTCCTTCAACAGCTCACATTTGCTGTCACTGGGATCATTTAAACATGCCCTGTGCTGGTGTTTCAATACCCCAAGAGTGGCAGCTCCCCATTTCATCTTTTGTTCCTGGGTAAACCATCATGAGCTTTTCAATTTCTCTTCAAATTGGTTTTTCAGCTTTTCAATTTCTCTTCAGATCAGTTTTTCTGTGTCCTTAATGATTCTTATCGCTTATCGGTGAATTTTTTCTGATTTGCTTTAAAGTCTTTTCACGTGCCTATCTGTTCATCTAATCTTCCATTCTCTAGAAAAAACATTTCTACAGAAACTGACAGTATTTCTATCCAAATTTACTTGCGAATTAAACAAAAACATGCTTGAAAAACTATTCACGGCGGCTATCTTTTTATTATAGCCCCAAAGATCCAAGAATCCTAATTGACTTGTAAGCATAATTCCGATTTTACACTTGATACTCATTAATTTATGCCTTTTAAGAGCTACCTTTTCCCTTCTCGTTAATTACTTTTTGCTTAAAGGTATTGTTTCATCTCTGTTTTTTTTTTGGCACAGCATCCCCTTCCATTTGGAAGTTTCTTATTCCTTATTCATTCTTATTCACTTCCTAGTTGGATACACACTGTGTAGTGAGAATATTAAGCCTGCTATCAGAATATATTCTTTACATACTTATGAAGAACTGGCCTGAGTGCCAGGATTTCTCCTTCACCAATGGTGACAGTCAAAGGCAATGTATGACCTAGAGCTGGGGAAACCAGCTCCTGTAAATTGTTGTGCAGCTTCTGATAGAACAGTGAATTTAAGAGTGAGGGAGGGGAAGAAAGGAAAGGAAACCATGGGAGAAACCCAGAAACACTTGAGAGCGAGGTCTTGACATTACGAGCAGCAGAATTTACTCCTGTTTGGCTTCTAGCCATTTGCAGCATTACAGATGCACATCTTCTTCCTAAGTACCGTTAAAAATTAATGGCAGCACAGTTGTTAAAGATTGACCTTGCAAAGAAACATATCATATTAACAAAACTAACCAGCACCTGCTCGAGTAAATCACCACTGTTGTCCTCTCATTGCCCTGCCAGACAATTTGCCAGTGCTTTTCCACTTGTTTCTATTCAAGTGCAATAAATTACTTTCTCTCCATCCTTCCAACCATCCCCTTCAGCAGTTGCTGACAGCAGGCTTACCCAGGCAGCAACCCTTGGACTGAGAACAATGGATCAGCTTCTCAGGTGATTGCACTCATGGTTACACCTTGTTGCCAAGAGAAAAGCTCTTTACCTTGGGGGCTGCTGTGGAAGCTAGGGAACAACAAGTATGAATCATCTCTCAGTTTAACGGCCTTTTTGCTTGGACTTGACGCACAATTACCACGGCACAGTACTTACTTCTGGTCCCACTTTCTCCAGGAGATGATGGAAAAAGTTGTCCAGCTCCTTCCCTTCTATGTAACCATTGTCTAAATAAAAGTCAAATATATTAATGGTCAGGGGGCACTGCCTGAGGTCTGGGATCGTGTTGTGGGCTGCCTGCAGAAAGGTCAGCCTCCTGCTGCTCGTGGGGGGGTCCTGCTCCATTTGATCAGCTCCCATCTATTGGACATTGGGCACAGTGTTTCCAAGTTTCCCGAGGAGTTTCCTTACAGGAAACCTTTCAGGGAAAGGTAAACGTCACAAGCTGTGCGCACACGAGGGAGCAGCTAAAGAAACAGGGAGGTGACGAACAGGCAAAAACTTGGGAGTGGGGAGATTTTCAGCCCTGCTACTGGGCATGCGGAGGAAGAGGGAGACGGGGTTCACGTGTCTCACCCTAGCACCCGCATGCAGCCACCCCGGCGTGGGCCCCCCCTTCTCTCCCCGTCGGCCCCACTTGCCGTCGGCGTCGAAGCGCCGCCAGGCTCCAAGGAAGACGGCGGCGTCGAGGCTCCCCTCCGCGCCGCTCTCCATGGTGCTGCTGCTGCTGCCGCCGGCGCCCTCCCCGAGCAGCCCCGCAGGCTCTGCCCGCAGCCCGCCCAGGCTTTGAGTGCCGCGGCCCCGCCCCGGGGGGGGGGGGGGGGGAAGGACCTCCCGTCCCACCGCTCCCACCCCCGGAGCCGCTCGGATCCCTCCCACCCGCTGCAGGGCCTGTGGAAGGCACGGAGCAAGGCCCGCGAGTAGACGGGGTGCGCCCGGGCACAGGAGTGGCAGGACGGACCTCAGGGTCCTCAGGATGCGGAGCACCCGCCCCGTAGCCACTGCTCTGGAGAGCCGTGCTCTGCTTGCAGGCAACCTTCACAGCTTCACAACTACCCGAAGGGGGCAGAGGTGCTTGAGGGAAACGTAAGACTTCAGAGGACGTGGGGTGTTTAGGGAAAAAGGGGGGGAAAACCCCAACTGAATCTTGTACCTCCTCAGTTTATGAATCTCACCTTCTCATCCCTTCCAGCCATCAGCAGGGTTTCCCTCCCAGGGATGAAGAGCCACGAAATGAAGACAGGTGGAAATCCAAGCTCTCTTCCTCCTTCAATACCAAGCAAAAGAAGGAACATTGAGGTTAGAGGTCTCAGTGCTGACAGCAAATTGCTAGTATTTACATTCCTGAAGGTCCTGCTGGGGACTGCACATGTTTTGGGTGTCACTCTTATATTCACCTTTCAAGTGAAAGTGGTGATTTCAAGTACCTGGGACTGGGCTCCGTCTCTTTTTGGGTGCTCCCAGAATCAGTTTTCACAGCTTATTACCTCCCTTGAAGTCCCTTACAGACAGTTTTTCCTTGGTTGCTTTTGATTTGATATATATATTTCAATTTTATGCGAATACAGATTTCTTTAGAGAGGCTTTCAGGGCAGAAAGCCCTTTAAAAGCTATTGGTTTGCCCTGAGCAGGCTTCTATTTGATCTGAGGAGGAAAAAACCCAAACCAAAACCCCAAAGCGAAGAACTAAAAGTTGTGTTTTACTCAGGAAACACCAGGTCTGCAAATTACATTCTTTCAGAGACACCACAACACAACAGGGGGACATGTCCAGCTTTTCCAGCATGCAAAAGAAAAGGAGATGCCACGGAGCTGATGGCTTTAAGCGGCAGTGCATGAGCAGCTTGGTACAGGGTTTCCCTAGCTGGCAGCCCAGGACAGGAAGAGATAGGAACATCCTGGTCAGGTTTCTTTGGCAAAGAGCTGCAGATCAGCTTCTGGCAAGGTTTGTAATCTGGCCTTGGAAAGCACCACCATGGCTGATACCAATGAGGGTCCTTGGTAGTATGATCGTGATAGCTGGTTTCTCACTAAGAATATTCTTAACTAAGAATAAGGAATAAATAACAATTGAGGGTAGGCAGCATTTAAAAAAGTAGAGAATGCTTTTGATTAAGGACTTCTGTGGCTCCAGCTTTGCACTGTGCAGTAACACTCGAGGTAAAAGATCTCAACTCCGTGTTTCGAAAAGCTGAAAATGAAAAAAGCCAATGGAATTGTTTTGCTTCAGAGCATTTTGGATGTTTAAAGATGCATCTTTTGAAAACCATGCCACTGTCCCAGTGTATTTTTCTTAAGTTCAGAAATGGCTTTAATGCAATAATACTTGACAAGACGATTTTCTCCATGGAGGCTTTGGGGTGGCAGATCATTAGTTCAGCTGTTTCTGTTATTGGTTTATTTCCAAATTATGGCAATTGGACATCAAGGAATAAAAAATGTCCCCCCTTTTTTTATAGTATCAATCTAGGTGTGCAAAATAGCTTTGAAAATGTATAAAAATAGCAGTTTTTCTAGAAAACCTCTTTTCCCTATGATGTTCAAGGATCCTGAAAAACACAACCAAAGAATTGGGATTTGGGTAAGACTCACTAGGAAGCAGAAATGAATAGCTTATTCCCAGTAACTCCTACCTCCTTTCAGCTCAAGTGGTCTCGTTTTGGTGGGCATCAACCCTCACCCTGCTGCTGCTCAGGGAGCCTCCAACCCGGCTTCTGCACCTTCCTGGGCTCCCTGAGAGGTGCTTCTCTTCCACAGCACCCCTCACCCTTCCCAAAACCCTGCCCCACACCTGCAAAGAGGAGGAAATACCCCGGATACACCCTGACTTTGGAGGCATTTGGCTCTTAATGAATGTACTTCAGTAGGTGCCTCAATGCTGGAAGCATTTGCAAGGCCATTATGCAGCCCTGCTGTGGGCTGGGGAGCCCTCCAGCTGGAGGACACCATCAGTGCTGTGTCATTTAGCTGATGCTAAATGAATAAAAGAAAGGGCAGTTTTTCCAAATAAGGAGCGTGTGGCCAAGCCTCAGGGTGGGCCAGCTCTGGAGAAAGGTGTAATCAAGCGACTGTAAATGGAAAAACATGCATAGAAGTGCACACTGCTGATGTGGAAACAATAAAAAGACCAGCTGACAAATGCCTCGTTCTTTGGGTTGGACTCAAACACACATTTGGGATTCCATGACCAGAACAGGAAACAAAAAAAAAACCTTCTTCTGGATTTGTGGCACAGCTTTGTCCCTCACCTTGTCAGAAGGTAATTCCCAATAGATGCAAACATGGACTTACAAATGGAAATGATTTTCCTCATCAAGTGGCTTTTGCTATTGCACTTACTGGAGATGCTGAGGAAGTCTCCGCTGGCCCCCGTCAGTGTTTCCTCCTGCACTAGATGTGTGCTTTGCAGGTAGTTTGGGTCCTGAAGGAAACCCAAGCCTGGATCCCCGGCGTCACCCATGCTCCCCAGCGCCCCATTTGCAGTGGGGCGGTGGGAGGGGAGTGCTGGGGCTGCAGAGGGAGGGGACGACGTGCTGCCACTCGGCAAGGATCTATGAGCACCCCAGCGAGGGAAGACGCTGGAGAAGCAGATGAAAGAGAAACAGAAGGGGAAACAAAGTGGAAATAATAGAGTCAGTGAGTTCCCCTGCCATCTGCCTGCAAACCGAGTCAGAGATAAAGCTGGCTGGGCAGAAAAGAAATAGACCTCTCCACTCCACCCTCTAATGGGTACAAGCTGCTTATTAGTGCAGACCCTACCCCACATTCCAAGGCAGATACCCTCCTCCTTTCCTCTGCTCTCTCCCCCTTTCTGCCCAGCAAATCCCGCATCACTGTGCTGGGCTGGATGCTGGCTCCATGCTCTCTGCCTCAGCTGGCAGACAGTATGTGTTTGCAGGGGTGCATGGAGATGCACAGTTCAGGTTGTGGTACTGATGGATGCGATGTGATGCAAGGACAACCATCACATGAATGTTCCCATCCACAGGTTCCAACCAAGGCCAGATTTCTTCATCCTTTCCCATGCAGCCCCACAAACTGAGAGGCATCAGTCCTCTGTCCTCTTTCTTTGGACCGACAGTGAGGATCCCTTGAGTATTACAGTGGAGCGGCCGACACCTTCCCACTAGGATGCTGCTGGAAAGGGACTCAGGCTATCAGATGGGGCATAAGAAGAGATTTCCCAAAAAGAAAACCCAACGTTTCCCCTCGCCACATGCTGCTTGATGCCCCTCAACCAGGGGCTGCAACCTCAGTTACAGTTCATGACCTTCATTATTTCAGTCTTTGACTAGAATTTAACGTTGTCTGAATAAAGTGGGGGTTGTACGGCCCCCATTCTGCTCTCCTCTACCTGCCTGCATCTGTGATGCTGAGCAGAGATCACAGAATTAACTTTACTCCTCCGTTCAGTGAAACCAAATCGGATTTGAAGCCCCTCTCCTGCCTTCTCTGCCCAGCACCAATGTGATTAAAATCTCATTCTCTCCAAGCAGCTTTTCTTCTCCTCAATTCAACTGACTGAAAAAGCAGAAAACAGGCTCTGAAGGGCCAGGCCTGGAGTCAGCTGGCAGAGCTCATCACAGATTGCCAGAGCAGCATCAGCACAGTGCTCCAGCATTAGCACAGTGCTCCAGCACAGGGGCATTGAAGCAAGGACTGGCCCATGAGGCTGAGAACACCCATGACAACATCTCTGCTTTCCACACAGGCTTCTCAAACACAGGCGCTTGAAACCTGCATCTAATAAAGCCCGGGAACAGCTGATGGAGGGGTGGTCAAAGGCAGAGGGGCTTTCATGTTGGGAAGAGACTGCTCATATTGGCAGGAGCCGCTTCAGTTTGTGGCTGGATACAACGTAAGAAATAAAGTTTTGGGACAGCACAGCCCTTGCAAAGGTAACTCTAACAAATGCACTTCACCTGATGTGCAGGCTCACACTTCGCTCCCCTCTGTTTGAAAACACAGGGTCTCACTGCTCAGCTCCTCGGTGCTGATGAGCATCTTTGCTCTCACAGCAATTTCTCTGTGGTACTTGACAGCAGGGCAATTTGGACCCCCAGGGCAGAGGCAGCCCTTGCAGCACCTCTCTGATGCCGGAGTGACCATGGGTGGGATGTCTCGGGAGGGGTGACCTGGCAGCCCAGGTATGGTGATGGGGTTTACCCCCCAGGCAGGGCAAGGATGGCAGCTCCAGCTCCAGCCCAGGCAAGTGCCTCATCCCAAGGACCAGCGTGTCCCTGGCTGAGTGCTGGTGGAGAGCCAACAGCTCTGTCCCAGACCCAGGGGAAAACTTCGTTGCTTGTTTTTGAGAGATTTCATTTCAGCTGGCAGAGATAGAGAAGCTTCTTTTCTCCTCCATACCTCCCATAAGAGGCAGGAGCTCTGCACTGGACTCTTTCGATCTCCCTTCACCATGTGAGACCCCAGAGGCTCTGGGATGTGTCACATCCTCAAGGGATACTTGGATGTTGTCCCCCTAGGCTGCTTTCTAGGGGCTTGCCAT